TCCTGTAGCTCAAGTTTCTCTAAACCCTTATCCTGTTAGTACTTTTGTGAATGTGTCATCGAATCTTTTCTCGAGCTCAACTTCATCCTCGACGGCGTCGGACGAAGAGTTCGAAGAGCGGTCGAGTAATCGGAGGAAGAGGAAATGGAAGGAGTTCTTCAAGAGGTTGACGAAGGAGGTGATCCACAAACAGGAGGATTTGCAGAAGAAGTTCTTGGACGCGCTGGAGAAGCGGGAGCACGAAAGAATGGCGCGCGAGGAAGCTTGGAGGATCCAAGAAATGGCGAGAATCAACAGAGAACATGAAATTCTCGTTAAAGAAAGATCCACCGCAGCCGCCAAAGACGCCGCCGTCATTTCTTTCTTGCAGAAGATATCCTCCCAGCAAATCCCGGTTCAAGTACCTGGAAACCCGAATCCGAATCCGAACCCATCTGCATTACCTCCACCACAGCCACCGCCACCAATTCAAGAACACCTTCGTCACCAGCAGCAACAGCATTATCATCTTCAACAGGTGCCATTAGCTCCGGTGACAAATATGGAAATAGTTCCGAGATTGGACAACGGAGATAACAACATTAGCGTAATTAATGTAGCAGTACCAAGCCCTTCCCGATGGCCTAAAGCGGAAGTTCAAGCTCTGATCAAGCTTCGAACCAGTCTCGACACTAAGTACCAAGAAAACGGGCCGAAAGGGCCGTTGTGGGAAGAAATCTCGGCCGGAATGAAACGTCTCGGATATAATCGAAGCTCCAAGAGATGCAAAGAGAAATGGGAGAACATCAACAAGTACTTCAAGAAAGTGAAAGAGAGTAACAAGAAACGCCCAGAGGATTCCAAAACATGCCCTTACTTTCACCAACTCGATGCTCTGTACAGAGAGAAGAACGGTAATAATATTAACAAGAATGAAACGGCGCCGGCGGGGAACATTACTTCCGTTAATTATAACAACAATAATGGAAATAATATCCCGGCGGCGGCGCCATTGATGGTGCATCCGGAGCAGCAATGGCCTCTGCAAATGCAACATCAACAGGTGCAGCCGCAGTCAATGGAGGATCTGGAGAGGGAAAGTGCTGAGCATGAGGAGGAAGACGAAGAAGTGGGGAGTGAAGAGGAAGGAGATGATGACGAAGAAGGAGGCGGATTCGAGCTGGTTGCAAATAAATCTTCTTCTGTGACATCAATGGCCGCTGGAGAATGAGACAAGATAGAAAGCTCCTAAACGAAAGTTGACGTGAGAAAGAGCAAAGCAAAACAGCCAGTACAAGGAAAAAAATGTTTTATTCTTTTTTTTTAAAAAAAAAATTAATTTTATTTAATTTCTTAAATTATTGTGAGTAATTAAAAGGTATACAGAAGGGTAAAATTCTAAAATGGTAAATTAATATTTTTCATCAGTCGGTCAATTTGGTTTACTAACTATTTCGAAAATAACATGGGCATGTTTGCAATTTTTAGAGGGGGAGAGAGTAAATTATATATATATATATATATATATATATTTCAAAATTATTAATTTAATATAATAATTTTTTATTAGTGATGGGCAGGAAAGATAATAAAAAATAAATATAATAAAATTAATTAAAGCAACGATTGTCTATTAATTCTATATTGAATTTATATATGTTGATTGGGTGCAAATGGGAGGAATCAGTTGTTTCTAAGCTTTTTTTATGGATCGGTTCAGAACGTATACTACCAGATCTCAGCAATAAAATAATCCCCCTCAAAAAAAAAAAAAAAACAACTGCGCATCCCGAGTCCCCCTTATTGTATACGTATTTTATTACATTAAATCGTCATAAATTTATAACTAAAATTTATTTCTCATATAATAAACTATTAATTTTTTTATATGCAACACATATGTTTAGGTTTTCAAATATAAATAACGAAAATTTAATATTAAATCAATTATTTTAAGAATAAAATTATCATTTAAAAAATAAAGACTTATATACAAGATAAAAAAAATCAAATTCTGATTCTATTAAATAAAAATAAAAATTTAATATAAATATAATATAAAATTATTTCTTATCTCAAATAGACAGCGTCTCACTAACGACATGTGGTAATAAAAAATTACTAAATTATAAAGATTTAAGTCTAATATTAATTAAAATTATAATAAATAATCAAATTATTATTTTGCTCTTATTCTTTATATTACTCAAATGTTTACAAATAATAGGAGATAAGGAGGAACCTCTACCCTTATACTGCCATTATATTATTTTCTCTTCGTCCTTTTATAATTAAATTAATTAGATTATAGTTTATTATTTTTTAGTGTATCATCATATATAAATTTTGCTTTATGTAACGACCAAAATTTAGATTTCGTTAATGTGAAAATATGTAAATTGTAACACCCACAAATTGGTTGTTTTAACTAAATAATTAATAAATGTAATTTTTATTATTTTATTTTATTTTATTTTGAATAAAAATAAAATAAAATTGATGGAAGATTAAATTGAAAATAATTTTGAAAAAAATGATAAAAATTTGGGTTCTATGAATATTTTTGAAAGAAAAATCGAAAAATATAGATCAAAATACAATTTAGAGAAGTTTTACCACGTCAGACGCCCGGTCAGCAGCCCTGACCAACCAGGACGTGCCAAGTGGTAGAAATGGTGATGCGGGAGGCCACATGGGCAATCTGCGTGCCCGTGATCGAAGACCTGAGGTTCATTCCTGCGCGCACGGACGACCTGGATGCACTTCCTCTCAAACGCGATCGAACGACCAGATTCAAATGTAATCGGACGACTTAGGATAGATCGTGATGAACGGCCTAGATTCACTCCCTATTTAATCGCGATCGGACGATCCAAATTAAATACGATGGACGGTCCATATTAAAAGCGGACAGATATAAATAACCCCCATCCGCACCCAAACCCTAACGCTAGCCGCCAGACCCTTCACCAGAGAAGACGACTCAGCCGCCGGAGAGCCGATCGTTGCCATCTGTCGCCGCACTGGAACCCTTTTCGACCGCCAAAAAAGGTAAAAACTTTTTGTTTTGCACGAAATTCAATTTTAAGCTCACCAATGGCCAAATTAGAGCAAAACAACCAACTGATTGGCTGAAAAACACCGGCACCGCCATCACGGAGAATTTCACAAAACTCCTCCGATGAGACCCTTCCCGATTCCCATTTTGAGTAATTTTTTTACTGTTGTGTGATCCGTTTTCTTCTCTGCAGGTTGGCTGAAGCAAAACACCAAATCGCAGCGTGAGCCGGAGGAGCCACCTCACTAGAAAGCCCCGCCGCTGGTGAGTTTTGGTTTTTTATATTTTTTCGGTCAACCAAAGCTTTTTAACATATTTTCTCGCAGGGATCGATGTAAAATCAGCTGACCCGAACTGGGTGGTGGCGTCGTCACCGGAGCACGGTGGAGCCGCCGTATCAGAATTCTGAAATTGGTCGAGTGGGCCTTAGGATTGGTTTTGGATTTATTTGGAACATTTGTAGGTACTATCAGCGGTTTTTTATTCTCGAAAAAAAATTTAGGGAACCTAAGGACCCTCCGTAGGCGCAGTAAACAACTTACCTTTTCAAGCGTCAAAATCGAGTAAGAATCTCTCACCCTATTCTCTATCATAGAACTGAAATTTAAATAAATAATAATATGATATTTTATATGATTTTAGTAAATATGCATAATTAATTAAGGATTGCTAATGAAGCTGGAACCAGAAATTATCTACTGTTGTTGTTGATTATTTTTACAGTTTACCTATATTATGGTATCTTATTTATTTACTTTATGGTTTTGAACGCATGTATGGTTTATTTTACGTATTTACTGCTGAATTAGAAAAAATGAAATTTAAACGGTAAAGAAATTGTGTGATTAAATGATTAAATAAAAGGGCAGTCTTACTAGATATCCTGGGAGATGGTGGACGGATCGAGTACATAGGGAATCCTACCGTAAACGTTGTCTCATACCGGACGGGATATATAGACTTGTAATTTAGTGCTCATATCGGACGGAGTATTGAGGTTTGATAAATTAGCGCTCATATCGAACGGGGTATGAGGACGGCTCATAATTGAGAATGATAAATGAAATGGTTCACGTGTAGCAGGGGCATCCTTATGAAACCCCATGGATACCTGCAGGCTGATAAAAAGAGTGGTAGTTATTGTTGAGATTATTGATAATGGATATGGATTTATAATATGTACTATGATGGCTGATTTGCATGATAGGTCAGTATGATATTATTGTTCTTACAGGTTGTCTTCATAAATTCCATTATGATAAGTGAACGAGAAATGATTTTATGATTGATAAATAAATTTACTAAATTTAATGTTCTATTAGTAATTTTCAATTTTATACTAATTTTTACTTATGTGTCGGTGATATAGTGTGATATTTTTACTGAGTTAGTATAGTTTATCATTTATTTAACCAGTTTAGATCAAGAGGATCAGATTTCAGAGCCCGATCCACAAGAAGATTGCGAGTAGATGCTAAATATTTTTTACATTCCGTTTGTTTTCTTATTTCTTGTATTTTTTTCAAATAATTAATTTTGTAATACTGTTTAATACTTTTAAATTATTGTGTAAGGAATGTAAACCTTAACGTTTTATTTTGTTTATGCACTTAAGTTATTATCTATTTACTTTTAGATATTTACGAGGTAGTTATATATAAATATATATATATATATATGTTATAAGGTAAAAGATCAAGAAGAGCACGGGACAGTGAATGTGAAGTGAGACCGTTTAGTTTTTAGTTTGAAGAGTATTTCATGAGATAACGTTTTTTACAAAAATGCCACTCCACCGTTTGTAAATCGTATGAAAAAACCAGTAGTAGGGTCATATTGTATTCAGGAATCTTCTAACAAGTTATTATTGCAAGAAATTATTATTCTATATTATCGTCTGTTGACTTCCATACAACCATTATCATCATTATTTTAGTCACAAAGTTTACCATTCACACACACATATATATGTATATAACATTTTGTAATTTTGTGCATATATAATTATATTTATGAAAAATATATAATTGGGTAAGTAGATAATATGTTATACATATATATATATATATGTCATAAGTTATTCAAAAGTTTGACCCTCTTTTAACAAATCCCATCTTCTTGCAAAGTGTCCGTTTTAATTAAATTTCACTTTTGATTTTCGTGTATGTGCCCAACTATTACTACTGTGCGTGTATATGTATGTACGTATATATGCAAGCAAGAGTTAATGTTGCCCATTTTGTTGGAAGACTGGAGGATACATGGATGCCCATTAAAGAATTGGCCCACACAACAGAAATTGAGTGGTCATTCATCTCCACCTACACATAAACATAACTATTATTGATTGTCTATATATATATATTTCTATATATATATTCTCTTGCAGAATTCTCCTGTTGCTTTCACTTTACCCTCAACTACCACTCACCTCTTTATCTTTTATTTCTTCTTCTATTCCCTAATCCCCTTCTTGTAATTATTTATATCTTCTCTCTCGTACATATATTTTATTATTCCTCAATTATTTTATCCATTTTGTTATTGGGCTTTTTTGCCCATGAAATTGGGCCGAGTCTTCAGTTACCCATACCCGACCCGATACTCATTAATATACGTTTGACCCAACAACAATTAATAAAAAGCCAACAAGCCATGTTACACGGCCAAGATAGTTTCCTATGGCTCCATTGTTTTTTAATAATAATTAAAATTAACTATAAAATTATTAGTTAGAATATCTAGTTAATTTAATTATATATGTACATATATATATGTATATATATATAGAGAGAGAGAGTGAAGTTGGTAATGAATATGAACGCATGTATTGTATTCATGCATATAGATATGATTAACATGTTGGAATATATTAGAATTATTCAGTGATTATATTCGTCAAGTACGTCTCTTTCAATAGCTTACTTAGAAGAAATGCATTTGATGATTTTGTTCACATATAATATACTTTTTTTTTGTTTAAAAAAATTGATCACAATAATAATAATTACAAACAAACAAATCCATATAGTTATCCAACTAACCGACCATCAATATCTGGGTTATTATTACATAACATAATTAAAACATGACCATTAATTTTCAATTTAATTTTAATTTTCATGTCATGAAATATAAATTTTTATTTAATTTAATTTAGTATTAAGTTCGATATAAAAATAAATTGAAATCGAGTTCGGAATAAGTGAAATCAGTATCAATTTTTTTTTAATATATGTTAATATTGTTCGATTCGGAGTTAAAAGTTATACTTATATTGTAAATTAAGACTCGAATAATCACGGGGTTCGGATAAACTAAATTAAGATATTTTAAACTAAATCAAACTTTAAAATATTGAAATAAAAAATTTGAAAATTTTTAAACATGCGAAATTTCGGGCTCGTGCATCTAGAGGAGTCTTAATACAATAATACATAGAGAAGTATACCTAATATCTTCACTTCATAATGATTTCAATTTAAAATTTTTAATTAATTATTTAAGAAAAGAAAAGTTAAGAATGGGAGATTTGTTGGATTTGGGTTGATAATGTGTATGTGTATGTATATATATATATATATGTATCTATACATGTATTATTGAGAGTATTTTTGTTGATAATATTAATTATAAAAAAATAAAATGAAAATTTGGGAAACACAAGAAAGTGGGATGATGGCGAGAGGCCCACCTCTTGTAATGAGTTTTATAAGGCCTCATCCAATCTGCTATTCCTATTTATGCAAACCCATTTAAGAAAAACTTCCAAGACAATTAAATCAATACGAAATAAAATTTTAATTAACAGCGTCAGTAAATTTATTTTTACTAAATTTGATGGAAAACTATTATCTATTATTATTTTCGTTTATTACAAGTGGGTCAAAATATTTTAATAATAATAAAAAAAAAAACTGTTGCATAAGCCTTCTGACAAGCTATTGTTCGAATATCTTGGGGTTTATTATTTTCAAATGATTTTACTTAATATTCTGATTATTTTATTATTTCCTTCTTTAATATTTTGTTTTATTTTTATTAATTTATTATCATGATTTGTTATTACTTTCCAATTCTCACGTTTTATATTAATATTCATTTTTAGAGTTTATTAATAAATATGTTTATTGTTTTTCTGTTTTATAATTAATTACACGTGGAAGTAAAATTGTTTAAAAATTATGGGGTGAATAAGATTCTTTATTTGAAGATGAGGGGCTCAAAAAATATAACCCCCATGATTACAAGGTACTTGTTAATATATGAGTCTTATTTTTTATTAAAATATTTTATTAATATATTATGAATAGGTAGAAATTCTTTTTAAAAAAATTATTAAAATAATTATTGTTGTTGTAGATCTGTAATAAAATAATTATTATTTTTTTAAAAAAAAAAATAGAAATAAATCAATTTTATTATTATTATTATTATTTAGATAATATTATAGACGTAGAAGTTTATATTTTTTGTTTGTGCGCGTAGTAAATTCCAGGGCTGTTGTAATTAATTATCTGATGGGTTTGGAAAAGACAGTTCTGTCATTTAATTAATCACCAGAATTTTCCATCATCATCATCATCATCACCACCAATAATTGGAAAACTTACAACTAGCTGCTATGTCTTTTACTCTCTCTCTATCTCTCTCTCTCTCTCTCTATATATATATATATATATATATATACAAACACATATACAGACCATGAACGTATATATGGAGTAACTTTTTTTTTTTTTTTTTTTAAAATTATTTTTTAAAGCCCTTTTTCTGCTTTTTACTGTTAAAATGTTAGAATATTAATCCATCTACTGTGGTGTCTTTTACAAAAGCAGATGTTTGGTAGTGTCTTTTACAACACACATGCGTGTTGGGGGAAAAGATAAAGCTTAATTCCTAACCCTAAAATACCCATCATTCTTCTTTTTTTTTTTATCCCATTTTTACTACAAGGGTTTTCTTCCCCTTTTCCTCAGCTCATTGCCTTTGCTGAATTTATATATATCATATATGTATAACGTTTTTTCTATTTGCGAATATACATATATATATATATATATGTGTATGCTAATATTCTCCTGGGAAAGCTGCTGTATAACCTGAATTATAAAATTCAATACCCTCTCCCTATCTCCCAAATAATGATTATTCCCTTTGCTTCTCATGTATAAATACGCATGTACATATATATATATATACACACACACACATATATATATGGACAACCTACAATTGGGTTGGTTTGTGTGTATGTATTTATATGTATTATGACGAAGAAAAATTAATTCATATATTTATAAACGAAAAAAGGGATGAAATAACCCACATCAACATGTCAACTTAGCATTCTGTTATCTTCAGAAGGAATATATATATATATATATATATATAGCGTGGGTGCGTGCGTGTGTGTATGTATATATATATATATATAATTTCAAAATATTCTTTTGAATTTTCAAAAGATTCGCCTAATTTTTGACAATGAAATAATATACATATATCGCAGACATTAATATATACTGTAGTGTCCAGATAGATTTCTTCTTTTCCTTTTCATCTTCTTTCATTTTCTACTCCTCTACAGCTCTACCTAATTTTTTTTTTTAATTTAAATTAATTATCTCTCTCCTGATCAATCATATCTCAGCCAAAAAAGAAATTATTTTTTTTAATCTCCCAACTCCTTTTTATTTATGCACATATTGATCAGCCAGCTTAACACAGATATATATATATATATATATATTACGATGTAAAAAAATTAATTTTTAACCAGCTGGGGTGGACCTCTTTTTTCACTTTAGGTGTTTGTTTGGCAAAGACGCAAAGGATGGATCCAGCACACATGCAGGGTCATAGTGGGCATCATTGTAAGTTTTTTTTTATAATTATGAATGCGATAAGTGTATGTATATATATGTAGAATAAAAAGCTGATATATATATATATATATATATAAGTTCAAGAAAAGCCTGATGCTGTCCCTTATAATTTTTTTGGCAAAAAGGAATTAGATATATAAATTATCTAAAAACTTTAAAAATTAAAATAAAATATATGTGTACGTATACGTAAATGTATATATGTATTGTGATGGGAACAGCAGCTTTTTATTGTCTTATATATAATGTAAGTGTATAACCAGAATATCTATAAAATTCTATCCATTTGATCTTTCAAAATGAACCAATCAATTTTTGTGGGTCACATCTTCTCTTCATCTTCTTCTTCATGAAGGTGAACAAAATTTGTAGGGTATGCCTCTCATTAGTCAAATGAATTCCTCATTCATGATAACTTATTAGACTGTCTCCTTTTGCATTATTTGGGAAGCCAAGTAATTAATGAATTCCCATAAATTTCACAATAAAAGTTATGATATGTATACATATAAATATGTAAGCTCGTGTAATTTAAACATAAAACATTATAGATTAAAATTAAAATCTGAGTCAAGCTCCCATGTATGTTTTTATTTAAAAGTTATCTGTATTTGATAATATATAATATAATTAATAAATACATACATTTTTTTACTTTATAGTATAGAAATTTTGTTTCAAAATAAAGTTTGGTGCTGTTATAAATGCATTGAAGGGGTTAAAATCATGAGCATGATTTAGACGAGAGCATAATATTTTTTCTCACGATTAATAATCATATTTTCGTACAGAAATTTTAAGTAGTATTTTTTTAAATATCCAAAAAGATTATTATCTTGATTAAATAAAGCAAACAATTTTAGGCTTTTTCATTGCACGGTTAAAAGAAGTAAGGAGTGTAGTCAAGCCCCATCTCATGATTCATTGAATCAAGGAGAGAAAACAAGATTATATAGTAAATTAAAGCTTGATTAATCATGCAATGTTCACATTCTAATTATTGTTACAAACTATATATATTTATATATAAATACACACAATAACTGAATTTAAACTTAATTTTGTCAACTAAATTAATTTAAAATATTCCCATTATTTATATCATATTAAATTTCTTCATATTCATAGACTCGTACTATAGAAGCTGTATTCGTCAAATAAATTCTCAAAGTTTTATGACAATTTTCTCATTTCACTCCAATACCTCTTTACATGATAAATTTTGAAGAAATTATATGTTAATTTTAATCAGCAATGCACTAACATTATTCCTTTTTGAAAAAATTAAAGTTCTATTAATAAAAACAATTTGATTAATACTTAAGAAAAAATCTAATGCAAATGAATTGCTTTCTTAATTTTTTTTTAATGAAATTAGATTATATATATTTTAATTTTTACATACTCCCTTATGTATCGTGATATATTTACAAGTATATTTCTAATACAAAAGTAACAAAAATTAAATTTAAACATGTTTTTCTTTATCAATTATTTATTGGCTTACAATGAATATTTTCACCTTTTTTTTTTTTTTACAACGATATGAGTTGGAATCATGAAAAGTGATGTTTGATGTCTATTATTAAATATTTCACCTAATTAAGTTTTGATTAAAAATTTTTAGTTAAAAACAGATTTTTAATGATTAAGGTAATATAATTTGACCTTATATAATACTGTACTAATTATATATCAACCAAACGTGTTATTTAAAAGATTTTAAGACCAATAAAATCCCCCAATTATACTATCCATAAATTTTGATACATATCATAATTAATATTGCAAGCTTGAGTTAATTAGAGTAACACTACCCAGTTTTTTTTTTTTTTTTTTTTTCTTTTTTCTAAATTAGTTATCTTCAAAATCTGTAATATATATATATCATAATCAGGAATTAATAAAAACCCGTGACATTATTTCCTCTATGATTACATATAACTAAGAAACTAAAACTAGATATATACGTATGTTCATGCATATAAACATACATACGTGTATGTACCCAATACACATATATATACATGTATAGATGTTTAGATATATATATGGAAGTTAGGTTGTGAAGAGATTAATAACAGCTTAGAAGATTCCTTTTTTAGGTGGACCCTATTAAAACCCCAATGGAGTACATGTGATGTTGGCATTTTGTTGGAGGAGCCATTTCTTACAAACCTATGCGCTCCTCCATGCTTTCTATATATATAAATAATTAATTTCAACAATATATAAATCAATGTAATAAATAATAATTCCAAAAAAAGAATATAAATCTATAAAAATAATAAAAACAAACATTGCAATTATAAACACTTTGTTTAATTCTCAAATCTACATGAGCATCAACAAAAATACAACTGAAACCCCTCTTTATTTATTTATTTATTTATTATTTTCATTCTTTCTCATTATTTAGTCCAAAAAAAAATAAATAATTTATAAAAATAATTAAAAACATATAATCTCTCTTGACTATATGCATTAATTGATTCTACAAATTTAATTCATTAATTACCCCCTCCCCCCAATTTCTCAAGTGGATGTAGATGTGTATATATATAAATTTCAATTTACTTAATTTTACTGCCACCCAGTTAATTAATTAATTAAATTTACTCATCACCGGAATCTCACCGATTTGCCGGAAGTCCGTCCCGATATCCACCGGAATTTGTTTCTATCTCGCCGTTAAAAAAATCGCTTGTTGTTTCGCATCACTCACTTGAACCAACTGAAACGGCTTTGTTAGGCACAATCTCGTAGCTTCCTCCTTCTTCGTCCTCCTCCTCCTCCTCCTCGTCACCGTCCTTATCGTCGTCGTCGTGAACGTGATCCATCTGTTCGCTGTTCGTGTCGTCCATTATTGAATGATGATCGGGCCGCTGTTGATGATGAGGATGAGGCGGCGGCGGCCATTGCTGCTCAGGTCGAACCATTAGCGGGACTGAGTTTTCGGGCTTGATTTGATTAATGGCGGAGGAGCCATGATCCAGCCTGTTTTTCTGTCTGTAAAGAGCGTCGAGTTGGTGGAAGTAGGGACATGTTTTGGAATCCTCTGGTCTTTTTTTGTTGCTCTCCTTCACCTTCTTGAAGTACTTGTTGATGTTCTCCCATTTTTCTTTGCATCTCTTCGCGTTTCGGTTATACCCGAGCTTCTTCATCCCGGCCGAAATTTCTTCCCACAGTGGCCCTTTAGGTCCGTTTTCTTGGTACTTGCAGTCGAGTTCAGTTCTCAGTCTTATCAGGGCTTCGACCTCAACTTTCGGCCATCTCGACGAGCTTGCCGGCGAGAATGTCTGGTTGCCGTTATCGGCTTTCTGTGTTTCCATTACATTCATTACCGGCGCCTGAACCACTGACGTCTCTGGTAATGGTGGTGGAAGAAGTACAGGCTGCACAGGAGGTCGAGCAGGCAATGGCTGAGGCTCAGGCTGAGATGGTGGCTGTGACTGCGGCTGCGGCTGTGGCTGCGGCTGCGGCTGAGGTGTATTGATATTGTGTACTGGTTGATTCGAGGGGGTTTGCCGTTCGGACAATTTTTGTAGGAATGCCATGACTGCTGCGTCTTTCTCGGCGGTGATTGCTCGTTCTTGCGCCAAAATCTCGCGCTCTCTATTGATTCTTGCCATTTCTTGCACCCGCCATGCTTCTTCTCGTATCAGTCTTTCTTGCTCCCGTTTCTCCAAAGCTTCCATGAACCTCCTGTGAAGCTGTTCTTGCTTGTCAATCACCTCCTGCATCAACCCTTCAAAGAAGTCCTTCCACTTCCTCTTCCTCTTCCGCCTCCCTCCCAATTCTACATCCGAAGAGGTTGACGAAGAGGTTGAATTCGAGAGCAGCTCCATGGATATATTAGCAAAAGACATCGGAGTGCTTGTCGTGAGAGGATTACCAGCAGGATTTGTGGTCGCTGCCGCCGCCGCCGCCACTGGTGCTTGTGCCGGTACTGATTGTACAACTGTAGGATCTGCCGGTGCAAGATTGATCGTCGGAGCTGCAACAACAGTTTGTGACATTGTGGGTAATGTCGTTGTTGTTGATGGAACAGTGCCATGAGTGATGGTGGCAGGAATATTATTAACGGCGGTTTGCATTGCCATTGCCGCCATTACTGTGCTTTGAGGTCTGGGTTGCTGCTGCTGTTGTGGTAAAATTCGAGGCGGAGGTTGAGTGTCGAGAGCTTCTAGCTGGTCGAAAAACCGATAGGTCTTGCCCTCGGGTTTACCAGTCCGGCCTTCTTTAGTCCTTTTATGATATTTGTAAACGTTCTCGAATTTCTCCTTACATTTCTTGGCGTTTCGATTATAACCAAGCTCTGCTAATTTCCTGATGAAAGAACACCAAAAGAAAATTTTCACTCCTGTATTTATCATATAATATTTCAAGAATAAAACAAATTGTGATTATCATTAACATATTCACATAAAATAGACGAAGAAATGGAAGAAGATAGACAAAGATCGTGGATAGAATCCAGACAAATCATACGAGTTGATGAATCACAAATTTCTACTGAGAAAATTTACAGTTGCTCATCCCATGAAAAAATAATGACAACTGATATGTTGGAATTTATCTTTTTATTATTCAATTATGTTAATTCTTGCATCTTGTGAAAAAAGAAAAATTACACTAAAAATGGTAGATAAAATTAAATAGTGAGAGAGCTGGCTAAGCTTGATTAATTAGGAAATTTATCGGAGAGGGGGAACGAGAAGGGTTAAGAAAAGAAAGACGGTCCAGAATTTCAGTAGTAGTACGCCAGAAAATCTGAATTACATGAATCTGAATTCGAAAATCGACTGGTAATTTTTCAAAATCTTTATCCATATTCCTTTTTTGAATTAAAATCAGAAAAAGGACGAGAAGGAGGAAGAAAGTAATATCTGAGAGAAGGATAAAGAAGTGAATAAAATGAGAACCACACAAACGAACCGGAAATGGAAAGAATTTAAAAATAGATAAAGAAACCTAATGAACTCAGCTCAGATCTCGCCCTCATGAGTTGAAACCAGCTCAAATCTCCGCCAGAAAAGAAGAAGAAGACTGAGACGAGGAGAAGACATGTAATTCAATTTACCTGGAGACCTCTTCCCACAATGGACCTTTAACACTAGCATCTCGAAACGCCACATCCATCTCCGACCTTATCTTCAACAGCGCTATCGTCTCTTGCCGCGGCCAGCGGTTAACTCCAAACCCTCGGTCACCGTCATCTCCAATCCTAATCCCTTTATCCTCTTCACTCACCTGACCTACAAGTACACCTCCGCCTCCTCCAGCTTCGCTACTTCCTTCATGAGCTCCACTGGTGGTGCTGCTCCCGCCGCCATCGCCGGAACTCCCGAACACACTGGGCGCCGCTGCTGCGTTACCTACGCCACCCTGCAGCATCTTATGAACGATCCCCACCTTCTCCGATTGCCGTTTGTTCTTTTGAGAAATATCTGGTTTGGTCCCTGCACAGAGAGCGACTACAGCTCTGGAAGGGGCAAAAATTGAAAAAAAAAAAAAAAAAAAATCCCGTAAATAAAAATAAAAATAAAAATAAAAATATAATACGGGAAGATGGTGAATTCTGTGTGTGAGGGGTTTTATGGAGAAGGGTATGCCTGGGTGGGGTGATTTTATTAATTTATATTTCGGTGGGGATCTGCTTGTCAATCTCAAGAAGGGTTTTTTTTTTTTTTTTTAATTTATTACTATTTTCTTTTTTTCACTTTCCTTTTTGTTTGTGCGGTGGAATCTTCCCTCTCTTCTTTTTTTTTTTTTTTTTTTTAAATTATTTTTATTTTAGTAAATTAAATTAAATAAAAAAAGCTTGGCACAGAAAGATATATATACTTATAATAAATATGTACGAAAAATTAGAAAATAAATAAATAATATTAACAGCTGGGTGATAATTGATTTTTTTTTTTTTTTTTTTTTTTGTGTCTGTCCAGCTAAATTTAGTTAAAAGCCGGCAGCTTTTTAATTTTTATAAAAAAATAAATAAATTTCCATTTTTGAAAAAAATAAAATAATTGTTTTATTGGGTAGTGCAACTGCAGATGAAGATCTGCTCAAATTTTGCTTTCTTAAGGGGCACTTTTGGATTTCAGTGGCAGGTGGCTATATATATTAGAGTGTGAAATGTCTTAATTACCCCTCCCTTTGATCCCATTGACCTTTCTTAATGATTGACCAACTTTACTTTCACATTATTATTGTTTATTAGATTAGATCCACCTGATTAGTAATGATCTGGAGGATTTGTCTCCTCAATTTACTTTTCCTTAAAATACTTTATTATTCATATTTTTTTTTGACGTGTAAATTATTGATTTTTTTTTTCATAATTAAAAGAAAAAAAATCTAATGGGATGAAACAGTGGGACGGTGTCGTTTTGTGTGAAAGGGTGATGGAGATGGTTTTCAATAATTGTGGAAGAAAAAATTGTCACGTAAAGTTACGTTTAATTTAAAATTGGGTTCGATAAAAAAAAAAAAAGAAGACATTTTAAAGTGGGATCCACTGTTGAATTAAACCGGTCATATTATTATTAGGCCAAGCCATTTATGAAATGAAGTAAATGGTGGGCAATTCTGTTAGCCTCCAACCTACCCTATGATATTAAATAAATATTTTTAAAAATAATTCCATTATTGTTTAAAATTAAGATTAGTTCTAATTGTTAACTATATGTTAAAAGGTAGTTAGTTAATTATTATTACGTAAAATGCACGTAATTATGGAAAAACTAAATATTTTTAATTAATTAATTGATTAAGGGGTGAACAAGTATTTAAGTAGTAGTTTTTTAAAAAATTCTGAAACTTTTTATTCATGCACTTGCCATTTTGAAAATGACTTGATATGAATATACTGCTAACTGATAAGATTGTTCAAGAGGCAACTCAATCCTCTTCTTTTTTTTTTTTTTTTAAATATATATATATTTCCACCTTCAGATTTTTATTTTCCGTCTAGATTTGTCATTTTCTACTTTTGATTTCGTTTACTAATTTAACATCAGTAAAAAAAAAATTAAAAATTTGGGTTATTAATTTCAGAAAAATATAAAGACAAACTCCAATATGAACTAAAAGTAAATTATATGGTGAAATTTATAATTTGTATTATGTTATTTTTGTAAATATATAAATATATTTGAAGTATAGGATGAGATATTTGACTGCAAAGAAGATTTTTTTATTTTTATAAAAAAAAAAAAACAAATATTAACGTAAAAAGAAAGATAAGGGAGAGAGAGTTATGATTGGGAGAGTAAAGAAAAGGGTACAAGTATTTATTATTTTATAGCAGACTTATTCAAGATTCCTTTCATAAATACTTTTATCACTCCACAATTCAATATCAAATAAATTTATTTTAAAATATAAAATTTACTATTTTATAAATAAAAATATATTACGAACTCACTGTAATTAATTAACTTATAATATTTAATTTATTAAAATAAAAAATTCAGCTATTTAATATTTATAATACTATGATGATAAAATTTAATTAAATTTTACTGAATTTATTATATTTTTAAATTTTTTAAAATCAGTAATTATAATAACTAACTATATTCCGATGGTTTTTTATTTAAAAAAAAAAAGAAAATTAGTTAACTTTAATTATTTATTAAATATTTGAAAAAGAAATAAATCAAATAAAACCACTAGATAGTTTTATCATTTGTAATTTAATGACTTGCGTGCCGTTTACCGCTCCCTCTCTTTCTATATGACGTTTACACATAAATATATATATATATTTTTTTAATTTTAAGTAAAATTTACAATCACCATCACTTACAGCAATGATTGGACCACTATGTTTTCCACCTTTACATATTTCTAAATATATTATATTATTAATTTACCCAAACTACCCATCATAGTCGTAATTATTACCTAAAATGCAAATAGTAAAAAACCAATGTAGCCCCCGAACTGACCAAAATACCCTCGCACACGTGGCCCCCTAAATTCTGGTTTAATTAATCCAAATCTAAACAAGTGAATTTTCTCTTGCAAATAAATTTAAGAAAATATTTAAATTGAAAAATAATAAAATTAATTATAGTTATTATTATATAGTTGATTATTTGAACATTAAATATCTAATTGATTACTTGGGTCCCACTTTCTTCCATTATTTATATTATGTTGTGCAATCCACTTGTTCTTTAACGTCCTTCAATAATTGAGTTACTGAATTTGATGCCCACTCATTTTTTTATTTTTTTAAATAAATAAAACTCCCACATTTTCTTAAGATTTTTTTTAAAAAAATTATTTACACAAGAATATTGTAATTTCTGTAAATTCAGTTTCACTCTCCCCACTTAAATCTTTCACAAATCAACATATATATATATATATATATTTTAAAAAGAAAAGAAATAAAATCAACGATAATTTCAAAAATCAACCCACCCGTAGTGTGAATTATGTTTTTAAACATTTTGGTAATTTCAAAATAATTTGTGCGACTATGGATACCAGCTAATTATATGTGTATATATATATACATAATTATCAAAGAAGTCAAAATATATATATATATATTTATTTTAGCTTGTGGTACAAATTGCAGGGTGTATAATTACCGGGTATCGTATAATAATAAGTATTATTATTATTATTATTATTATTATTGATTTTAGTATATTTTCCCACCAAATTGGTTTCTTTTTCGTTCGTTGAGGGGGGCGCATATTGGTTAAAATTACTTGTCTTGCAACACATAATATTTACTTTAGATTTGGTTTCATGTGTTTGTGTTTTGTTTGGCTGGCACAAACTTGGACTACCTGTACATGTACATATACGCATATATGTATATATAATATGTATATGTGTATTTATAGATACAGGTAGATATACATCTGGCTTGTGGAAAACTCCTCTAGGTGGATAGACACTCTCCCACAATGCCCACCAGTGCTCGTATCTCTGCATTATTAAATTTACACCATATGTATAATATTACAATAATATGCTCCATCAGCGCTGTAAAAATATTATTGCAGTAGTAATCTCATAATTCTTTTTAAAATAATATATCAATATTAAAATTTATAATTTTATGTTGAAAATTTAACTTAATTAGTCATTTTAATGCTACCCATTATTGACATTTCAACTGATAAATTTTATCTTGATCAGTTTTTAATTGTTTTCTTGAAAGAAGGTTATATTTTACTAATCATGAAGTAGTTTAATCTTAAGTAACTTCATGCGATTGGAGAAATCTAAATTCATTATACTATTTTTTTACTTTTGGTAACTATGTTTTCACTTTCTTCAAAATTGTCACGTGTTCTATTGAGTAATAGGTAATGGATGTTTAAACAATGATTATTTACTGAAGTGAATAATAATATATTGTATTTATTTTAAATATAATGGTTAATTATATTTTTAAAAATAATATATTAAATATAAAATAGCAGAATATAAAACCGTATATATATATATATATATAAAATTTACTGGGCCAAGTGGGAAAAGTTTAATTGCACATGGTGCACATGTGATGTGAATGTGTACACTTACATCTGTCTACCATGTGGTTTAACCCCCATATTTATCTGGCACCAGCTAAGCACCCACCAAGTCTATTCTTTTTTTTTTTTTTCTTTTTCCCATTTAACTGCACTATTTTTTTTTTATAATAATATTATTTATTTTTCATATATATATATATATATATATCATACATTTTCAAAAGAACAACCTGAAATGATTTTTACCGGGGGGTAAAAGTTTTACATGAGTTCAGATAAAATATCTTTTATTAAACTTTTAATTTGAAATATATTTTTTAATATCTCTAACTAATGTAAACGTAGAAATTTTTCATATACATCTTACAATTTTAAAGATAACGGAAATATTATTATATTTTATTTTTTAAATGAAATAATTTTATTTAGACAAAAATGACCCATCAACATAATTTAAACTAATTTTATAATCTTTTGAGTGAATAATGAAGACACTTTAATAATATTAATTTTTTTAATTGTAAAAAAATCTTCATTCCTATGAATTGCGGTTTACCAAAGGTAATAATTTGAGAAGGGAACCTTATCCCTATATTGGGGTTTTATTCATGCCATTGTTTTTTCGTTATTTTTTTTTAAAAAAAAAATCCGGAATTTAATTCCAGATTAATTTTGATATTATAAAAATAAAAAAAAAAATATTTTAATATTTAATTTAATTTATTAAATTATTGAAAAAACTAGGTAAAAACCTATTTGAAAAAATATTTTGGAAAAAATTGG